CAAGGAACAATTTGACCGGGTTGACAGGTTTCCCTCTCTACCATTATAAATCTGGACTCCTTTACAGCTCATGTCCTTCGGTGGCAAAACCAGCCACCATCTTACAAGCCTCTGCGTGGGTCAGGCAGGCAGCTTGATCCATAAATCCATCGCACTCCTCAGCAGGTAATCATCTTTGAAAACAAATTACCAGAAGATGCCAACAAGCCCATGGAGAAAACAGACATAGAAATTTAGTGCTGTGAAGCACCTATCCAAGCAGTATTTCGACTCAATGGTTATGAACCAGAAGGTCAGCATATTAGTAATTACATTTGTGGGCCAGGAGGGCTGTAGATCACATTTATGCATTTCCTGGAAGGCTGAACTTTCTTCAGAACAGCTACAAATGCTTAAATATGAAGAGCAAAAACATATCAAAAGCACTGGTATTGCTATGGATACTGAAAGGCCTTCGTGAAAAGCACTTTTAAAACAGAGCTGGAAAAGGATAGTGTGGCAGCAAGTTCAGAGTGGAGTTTCGTCTTGAATTTGGAAAGGCATTGGGCTCTCTCTGTTAATGTCACCTTTCCCTTGCTGTTTAACACTGAGGTGAGTTTTTTGCACCATGCTGCTGATTTTTCATGCTTTGAGTCAAGCACTTAGGCAACATTCTGCTCTGTTCTGTACGTTTAAGTCCCATTACAGATGCAGACAGTTATGTGTGGAGACATACAGCAATAGTTTTCAAATTGTGCCTTGTGAGCAGCTCAGTTTCTTCCTGATATTTCACAGAATGAACATTTTGAGAACAAACAGTGGACTTTGGAAACATATAAAGGAAGATAACTGCAACTCTCTGTAGGTTTGCCTTTTACGGAATAATCTACAAGATTAAGTGCTTGTGAACAGCTTAATGGTACAGAGTTAATGGTATAGAGTTTCCCTTTCTGTAGGAGCTCTGCTGATGCATACACCTGTGTCCTTGTTACCTTAACAACACATCCAGAGGAAAAAATTGTTGCCAAAGTTGAAATTAAGTAGTCTATGGGACAAACTTCCTCACTGTTTTTCACAGCTACAGAACAGATGAAGCAGAAGGCAGCATGTAGTGCAATCTTGCTCCCAGGCATCTGGTATTTTCCATTACTTGCTTCCTTTTGTCTCGTATCCACTGGATTTCCTGGAGGCAGGGAATGGGACCTAAACAGAAACAATGATACTACGGGTGAGAGAAATCCACTGGTTAGAACTGGGGGACAGGACTTCTGAGCACTGTTCACTGCTTGGTTCCTGAGTTTCTAAGTGACCTGGAATTAATCACTTCTCTTCTGTGTCTCAGTTTCTTCTCCCGTAAGAAAGGAACACACTTATTTAGTTGCTCTGTCTCCAAGGGCTGTTGTGATACATAATTAATCTTTATAAATCATTTACTGATCTTTGAAGTAAAGTATTTATTTAAGAGTACAAGCAGCAGTAACAGAATAAAAAAGGCACATATAAAAAGAACATTAGCTAACTCCTAACAATAGGCTTTCTTCCCATGTCTTCTGCTAGGACACTGCTGCACCTTTGGCATTATATAACGTGCTGCTCTTGTTCTGTGTCACAGGGATTGAAGTATGGCTGCTCAGCCAGAAGCAGCAGCCCAAACTGCAGGTCTAAAACATCCCAAACTTGAAGATAAGAATACGACTGCCACAGAAGTGGAGACAAATCAGGGGCATGATGAGCTGCCATGTCTTAGTAATTATGCTCCATGGAAAGAGTTTTTTTATGAAAAGGTACAGCAGAGGTGTCTGAGTCTGCAGGAGACAAAGGTGAAAACAATTTGTGCACAGAAGGCAGAAGAAGAAAAGGTAAAAAGGAGAGAACAGTGTGACTGGCTGTCCAGAGAGTGGTTCAGTGAAGAGAATGACTCACTAGATACTCGCATGTATTTGCTTGACAAACTCCTACCTACATTAATCCCAGGAGTGGAAAAACTATTAGCAGAAGTGGAAAGAAGGAATGTACTTGCACCAGACAAAGAACCGACCAAATTTAACCCCATTACTTTTCTTGGAGAATATCTGATGAGACATAACCCTCGGTATGGTATTTCTACAGAACCAGGCCCATACCTGATAGGAATGAAGATGGTCACAGAGAAGCTAAAAACTGAGATGCCAGGTACAGCATCAGAGAGGTGAGAGACTTGAAAGTGTGGCTGGTTACAAGACCAGAGCTGGTGCCTTGGTCTCTCTTTTACAAAAGGAATGGTGTGACAGCAGCCTGGCTGGGGAAGTGTCAGGCAACATGACCCAGTGCCAGAGATGGTAGCTGTGTCTCATAAAAACTTGAGAAGCAGAACAAATGCCAGAACATGTCCCACAAAATGAAACACTAGTTATTCCTGTTTAAGGCAATATTCTGCACTTCACATGTATATAGTTCCTCTTTAGAGTATCTTAATTACATATGTGGAATGCAAACTCCTTTCAAACTGGTCTAGGTTAGTGACAGCAGTTCTTTAGGAGAAGTATTAGTGTCAAAGGTCTATGGGTTCCAGATAATTTCTTCTATATTCTTCCAAACTTAATAAAAAGATAACCTTTTTCCTCCTTCAGGAGGATTTCTCTTGAGCAAAACAACAACATTGTAGAAACTCCTTCTCCTGGGATTTTTACTTAGGCTTTCCTTCCAGATTCTCTTTTCCATTTAAAGTAGAAACTTCTGTATTTTATCGTGTTGCTTATTTGTGGGGTGTATTTTAGGCTGCTTGCTTTAGTATAATATTTAATGAATATTGGAGGGGGTTTCCATGGCATCTTACAACATGCAAAGGTTAAAATGTGAGTGCATTAGGTGAACAATAATGCATTCAGTTTAATTGCTTTATTCAGAAAGATATAGAAGTGAACATTTGTGTTTATAGATGACCTAGAGGTGATTGTGAATGATGTCAAAATTACTAATTCACTACTAGATCACTTCATTCTGTGTCTGTGTTTGTAGAATAATGACTGCTGTTTGAATGGCTGTCTCTTCTATTTGCATTAATAGGACTTGCAGCTTGAAAATTGGTTTCAGGGTTTCAGTGTCAGGAATTAGGGAAGTAAAATGTTGACATGTCTTGTGCATAAACTCTAAATGAAGATAATTGAAGTTCCCAGTATTTTAATGAATAAAAGAATATGTTAAATCTCTCTCTCCTGCTCTGGGTTTCTGCCTTTCTACATTTCTAGTCTACATACCGTTACAGTTCATAGGGACATGCCCTGTGTGAATACAATTGAAGCGGAGTGATAACTGAATTTCGTACAGTCACTTACCTCCTTTTTCCCCCACAGATATAAATAATTATAACTGACTGATGATGGTCAGCGTGCAAGAGCTCAGCTTTTTGGCTTTTCTTCATAAGCAGACACACAGTAGTACAACCAGAGGTGGTAAAATATCTTTTATTTTTTATTTTTTAGAGGCAGGTCCACTGAACCAAATGATCCAGGGAAACATCTTCACTTTCAGTGAGCTTTCACTCAAGCACAGACTGTTCTGGGGAGATGTTTAGGATGCCAGCTTTGCCACACGTTTATTTTGGGGGCTGTTTTACCGTTCATATTGCTTCACAGAGGGACACCTGCATGCAGGAAGTTCAGAACTACATTTTATTTTTATTTTGCAAAAGAAATTGTATTAAAATACATAAAATTACCTGTGGGCTTGGGGGTTGTTTTTGTTTGATTTTGTTGGGTTCTTTGTTTGTTGTTGTTGTTTTTCTGCTAAAATATTCTCAGCTTTCATTGTGAATCAGAGCTTATTTCTGGAGAGGTCAGATTTTCCTGTAGAATGCAAAGTGTTGGCTAGCAGTGACTTGTTGTCTTGGCTTTGTCTGTAAGTCCATGTTTACATTTGGAGACAGGTTTTCAATTTGTAGCTATCAGAACTGATGCAAAGGAAGTGCCTATCAAGACTTGTAGAAATCAATCTCTCCTTAGACAGCACTGCCACGGGGGGGTTTATGTCACCATAGCTGTAGCAGGTTTTGCATATCCGCTGGTAGTAGTATCATGGGATTTGCATTCTCAGCAGCTCAGGATTTACATATTCGTGATGGCTGTATTGTGGGATTTGCATAGGATTCTTAAACCACAGCAGCACAGAGGATTTTACCGACACCAAGCACGGAGACTCGTAACGTGAGTCACTGGCTTTCTAAACAGGAAAAAAATTATTACAAGAGAAATGCCAATCTGTGCTCAAAGTCTCTCACATAAGTGCCAGAAAGATGAGGAGTGAAATTCTGGCCCCAGTGGAACTCCCGGGAGCCTTGACATTCCCTTCAGGAAAGGCAGGATTTCACCACAGCTTCTTATCTAAAGCTCACTAACCCTCCCTGGGCTCTCTCGGGCTTCCTCCAGTCTCTCCTTAACTGCCACCTGACTGGGGGTCAAGGCGTGCAGGAGAACAGATGGGAGAAATTCTCATCCAAATTGACTGATACCTGAAACGGAGACTGTATTTGTCCAGGGACAGTAGTCCTTCAGCCTGAGTCACCCATCCTCGTGTGGGAGTTAGGCGGCTGTCTTCCTGAAGAAACATGTTTCATTCTGCAGGGAGAAGTCACCCTCGCTGCCATCTCATTTTTCTGGAAATGTCTGATACTGAAATGAGCTCACTTTGAAACGGGTGCCCAGCACTGTCAGAGCCTGTTTTGCCATTATTGTCTCAGGGGGGGGAAACGTTTTGTCCCATACCAGGGACACCGGGCAGAGGATGCAGCTGCAGGACCCTAGAAATAAATGTAAAACTGCAGCATGCAGTGTAACTTGTGCTGGGAATTGCTCAAATTCATCACCAGAGCACCTTGGCAGCTCCTAGCATGGCCTTAGCTCTGCTTTCAGCTTGCAGACCGCTCCTGAGGAGGAGCCGCAGCCAGAAATGGCCTGGTTTTCTGTCTGTAGCATATATTGGAGAAAATCCACTAGGCTGTTTAGCTTGGTACCTGCTCTGTATCTCCTCTTTGCTGTGTCTGAAGGAGTCAGAAGGCAGGAAATTATTTTACTCTTCTCCTGCCATCAAAGTGCCGGAGGCTGAGCTCCCTCAGCAGGCACTTGTGCAATGCCTACGGCTGCTGAAGGAACCCAGTTATTCGTTACGAAACCTCTGATAAGTGGCCATGAAGAACAAGTACCTAGAGATAAAACTGACTGTGATCAAAGCATATTGCTGTAACGTGTCAAACAGGCCTTTCTATTCATTAATGAAAATATCATTGGTTTATAATTTGTAGCGTGACCCCACAGCAACAGAAGAGAGCAGGGACAGGATCAGCCCATCTTCACAATACGTGAAACACAGGGGGAGGAGGGGAGCAGAAATCATGTTAAAATATAGTTTCTGGACTAGTGTGTTCTCAGGTACAAAAGAGAAGCAGCTCCCCTTACCCTGACCAGCTGTAGAGGGTGTCAGCAAGAGCCGTGGCAGTGCACAGGACAGCTCTCCCAACGCAGAGAGGTTCCAGCAGTCTCTGTGAGCAGGAACTGTTCTCCCCAGATGAGCTGATCCTTTGGCTTTAAGTATTTTGAGTTTCCTAAATGTTTATTTTTTCCATTTCATAAATGAACAAAGTCAAAACCAAAGAAGATCAGTTCTATGGGATCAATTTTATTCAGTTCTTTTGTTGTGTGAAATGGAGGATTGGGAAAAACGTGGCAGGGTGATTTGAGAAGCAAAGGAAAATGGAAGGAAGAAGAAAGGGAGGGACTTAGCCCAAGCTTGCAAATTGTATGTGTTCAAAATGACAGAGAGGTCGGTGTATTATCCCTGTCTTAAGGCAGCAAGGACTTTGTGTGAGACTGCTTAAGAAATTTCATTGAACATTGTTCTTTGCCAGTAAAGTGATAATGTGAAATGGTACTTAGGCTTTGAGACAAGCGCATATTGATGCAATTTTGTTGGTAAATCAAGCATAGAAAAATTAGGCACCTCAAAAAAAAGGAAAGTGAAGGGCACCTACACAATAAATGATTAATGCCATTATAAATGTGAAGGTAAAATTTATCCCTGTTGAAGCTACACAGATGAGGAGAGCTGTACAGATGATTTTCCCTTAAGTGTCTCCTGTGTACTCTACAAGAGGCTGTCTCCACATCCATGTAGCTGACACTCAGAGGTTATTTCTTCAGATTCACAGTTCCACGAGATTTCAGGAGATGATACATGTCAGAATATAAATACTCTCACCTCCTTGAAACTGCCTTCTGAAAACACAGGTTACTAATACCTAGTCCAATAGGCACACTAGCAATTTTTGCCCCAAACATCAATTATTTCTTTGGTCAAGCATTTCAGTAAGAAGCTATTTCTTTTCCTTTTGTTATTCAGGGTATGCTTAATCTAGCTTAAAGATATTTATGATGGTATTTTTCTAAACCATATTCCCATGTCCTACAGGCTGGCCAGGGTGAAGTCCGAGGTAAAGACCAAACGGCAGGAGAGGGAGCAGGTGGCCAAAATGAAGTCTCATGTGAAAGAGATGAGAAAGGAGGCACTGGCAATTCAGTTCAAAGAGTGGACAGCGGATGTCAGTGGCAGAATACTGATTGCACTGGTAACTAGGGATGACCCTTGTTAACACACTACTGTGGTTGTTGCAAACAGGAGGAGAAGGAAGATTGTGACAGTGCAGCCTGCCCTGGCAGGGGAGCAGGGAGCACAAAGATGGGCAATGGCTCTGACACCCCTTGGGGTCAGGGTGCAGGTCGCTGTCTGCTGCTCAGCCTCACCAAGCCCTGATTCCCCATGGGCACAGGGAAGGATTGCAATGTGTTCTCCGCAGAAGGCCTCGGAAGTTAAATGCCCTGTGAGGTACTCAGACACTCCTGAGGTTGTTGGATACATACCTCATCTCTGGATGTCCTTCTCTGGAGCTGGTTATCCCCCAGAATCTCCTTTAAAAGGGCCAGGCAGCCACTCTTGCTCTCCTCTGGCCTCCATTACATCTTCTTTCTACCCCTGTGTCTCATACAAATTGATACTGCAGCTCCTAAAAGCCGACAGCTGCAGTAATTGTAGTACATCTCTTGGTACAAGCATCTTTCTTACAAGTCACAGAAGGCCCCTAAGAGCTCGTCCTGTGGTTACACACAGCACAACAGAGACAAGGTCTGCCTTTGTGTGGTAAGCAGCATGGCTGGCCCATACAACTGATTATTCCAGGTGATTTATTTTAGTAATTCCCTCCTGCTGTCTGCATGAAACAAGCCTTTGACTATTACCTTGATTTGCAGGTTCAGAGTGCCCTGAGGTCTTTTCCGGATGTCATTGCTTCTCCTCCCACAGATGTGAGAAAAGGTAAGTTTTTGATGTGGCTCCTTTAGTTTTATTTCTGTGGTCTGAATTCTGATGAAAACTGTGAGGAAACAGTGAATGGATTTGATAACAGAGAAAGAATTGCTAAGGGTAGTTATACCAGCTAGGATATTAACCACAAATCTTCAGACAGATGGGAAAGAGACTGAACCCCTGTGTGGTACCTTAATATGATCATTAAAAGTATGGAGAGAAGTTTAAAAAATCTAGAAAGATCAGATGCAGGCCCTTTCCATTTCTATCCTGCATTAGCCAGACATTGCCATGTGCTTACCACTATTTTTGAGAATCACTATATCAACCTCCTCCTTCGCCTGCCCTATCACATGGCATTTCCTGTCTCATGGGAAGTCTTGGAAATCCCATGGACAGCTTGGCATACTGGGAGGTATGGAGGAAAGGTATGGAGAAAAATTAAAGTCTGACAGTGCTGTTACCTTGTATGCTTTCAGGGAAAATACTGAAACATACCTAACACTCCACCAAGGTGCACCTTTTGTCTGGCCATTCCCTTCGCCAGTCCCAGGCGTGCCAGTCCCGGCCAGCACAAGGGCTCTGTATCAGAGCACTCGGCACAGAAAGGATTTCCATAATTCCTGTCCACTCTACATAGCTTACACTTGACCTCCCCAAGTAATGATAATTGAATAGATAAAGCCAGGAACATTGAAGAGGCAACATAGAGCCTGCTGCCAGCCCTTTACAGTGATAGCCCGTAATGATCATCAATAATAACAAATCTGCCTGTGCTGGAAGATGGGATGATGAGCAGGAAACCTCCAGAGTGCATTTCTGCTTGCTGCTGGAGTCACCTCTGCCTGGAGCTCGCCCTTGCTCAGCCCTTCCTCTATTGCAGAGTTGTGCCTCTGAGCAGTCACCGTATATTGGCCGTACATTGTGCAAATGCCAAGCACAGCCCCTGCTCCTGCCGTGGTGGCTGTGGTTCTTGTGTGTGAACAGGTCCTGGGACGTGAAACTGAGCAGGAAGTTTCTGTCCAGATGCTTGCTCTGCAGCTGCTGGAGGTGCTTTATGTCATATTGCACTAATAGTGCGGCTCTATTTCTTAATATATTTCATTTAATAGCATCCACTATGCATTAACGGAACATTAAGCTTCGTTTTATAGTTTAATAAGGATAATGTACAGTTTAGGACTGTCTTAAGCAGCAAGAGATAAATGCATTCGATGGTGAATTTTCTCATTACTCCTGATAACATTGTAGAGGAAAGAACAGAAGAATAACTCCAACAGAAAGAGCATATCTGTGCTCAAAGGCCTCGTTCGGAAGTCTATGTAGGCATTTGACATATCTTCTGAGTTCCATTATAGCAGCCCAGAAGCTGACCAAAAGATGGTTTTGAATATCATAATCATTAAAATATTCCCACAGAGCTTCTTGGGAAAATTACTATGATTTTCACATTCCACTCTTGCAAAGCAGAATTAAGGTCCCAGAATTTTAAGGCAATTTTATCTGTTTGTTAAATCAAAAATAATTTATTCTCTCATATAATTAGTTGTAAGTACCATTAAAGTCATTGCAGTTTGCACATGTCAAGAATAAATATGACCGTACAGCTCTGAATAGGCAAGTGCAGATTCTCAACAAGAGAATATGTAAGAATCAGATTTAGATAGCTGCTGTACAGTCAGATGCTTCAGCTATTGTGTAGGACAACCTCAAATAAATGTAATCCAACATGAGAAGAAAGTTAATGTAACATATAATGTGCGAAAAAATGTGTACAGTATGCAAAACCCCAACTGTTTGCTTTCTAAACCAATATCCCTTCATTTTTTACTAGCAATCTATGACAGGAAGCTGGAAATCATAGACACGTTGGAAAAAAAAGTAAACGTAGATGAATTCACAGAGGTGAGAAATGAAATAAGAGAATCTGATTCAGAATCTGGTGTTTATCACAAAGTAGTAGCATTTCCCTGAGGACAGCTAAGATGAGTAAGTGAAGAGCTTGACTTCTCCAGCATCCGAGGTGACTGGCTGTATCCGGACATTTCATGTTCCATCTCCGTATCCATCCTCTGCTCTCACAACACTCCCATGCTGGCCAGCAAGTATTTTGCTTTCCCCAGAGCTGCAGCCTGTGCCGCTCTCTGAGAAGTTACTCCCAAAGCAGTGGGTTTTAGGACATCCCTCTCAATCCCCTTTCCAGGATGCCAAAGCCCTCGGTCACAGATACGTTGCAAGGAGACGAACCTGGAATCACGTCTGAATTCAGGTTTTGCTCTGGCTGTTCAGGGGAGGTTCAGTGTCCCAATATAACCATTAGCTTGAGGTGATTAATACTGTCCCCCAAAGTATTGTTATTTCTTACGAAATTCTGCTAACCACAGAAAAACCTAACAAGTGATGAACTGGCAGGAGAAGCTCTGCCATTTTTGCCCTGAACCATAACCAAACTGCAACAAATGTCATAAATGTGCATGAAGCATAACCACGCTGGAAAAGACGCAGTTTTAAAATCAAAAGCTGTCATTGAGAAACATCAGAAGTGTGTTTTTAGCTCACCAAAATAAATAAATACAGTTGGAAGTTTCACCCCATTACTTTTCATCAATTTGAAAAGAACCAAATCAGTTCAAACTAAATTTACCAAAAAGCTCTCCAGGCCAAGACCTTGCCAGCCATTGCTACCTATGACAGAGCTAAATTTTATGGCTGGGTAATGAAACCTGTGAAGAGGAATGTTTAGAACAGAAATAATGACAGAGCCTCAATGGCAGCAGTGCTAGTGGGTGCTGTTACAGTAATTAAAAACAGAGTGTCAAGCAGCTGTGCAGAGACTAATTTCGAGCAACATGTGTGATTTCTGTGCCTTCTTCACTCTCGGGAGACTCACATGTTTGGTATTTTGCACAGAGATGCATTTTTATGATAGCTTGTTGAAGGCTTTTTTAAGCATGAAATGAGGTATTTTTAAATTTAACCTCAGAATAACTGCATTTAATTAAGAAAACTATTGTGGATAATGGGAGCCCAAAGAATTGCTGTTGTCACTGAAATGAAGCATCAATCCATAACCCCTATGGCACATGTATAAGCACTGAATGAATTAATGCTCCATTAGCATTAGAAAAATGTTTCAAAATACATTTGTGTACTCTTTATTTTACTCAATTAAAGCTATGACAACAGATGAGAAGTACAAAAGACACGGACTGGCAAGCTGTCTGATTTACCAGCCAGTGCAGCGTTGTTCTCAGAAGATACTCTCTGATGCTTTTTTCCAGGCTGGTTTTAATTGAATGAAATGATGAGGCTTTCATCACTTCCCTTGGGATCGGTTCCGTAATCCCAGGCCTCGCACTGAGGACAGGGCTGTTTCTAATCCTCGGCTACAATTTACCTTTGTTCATCAGTTTGCATCATCCTCCAAAACCAGAAAGAGAGATGATCTTTCTCCACACTGTTCTCAGCCCTTTCACCGGCGGAAGGCATTGCTTTTTAATGGGCCTTAAAATTAAATGGCGCTTTTTTCCCCCCTTGAATTCAGTGCAGTTTACGTTACTTAAAGGCTGTTAGAAACTCAGTAGAGAGACCTCACACGTTGTTGTTGTTGGGTTTCAGGGTTTTTTCCTGGACATGCAGAACAGTGGCTGTTGAATTTTTACATCCTTCATGACAAGCTCATGGAGTTGTTTATATTAAAAGTGTTTAAATCCCAGAGACCAGTCCTTAATAGTTTATTTCACAAGCTAAAAAATAACTTATTTTTATTTTTTACTGTAACATGCAGAACACCCAGCAGACACCAAAGGAAATACATTGCCTTTGTAGGGTCTGAATCAGGCTTTAAAGGTGAGATTATTTTTCATGATTACATGTGGCTTCCTCGATTTCTGTTGAGATACAATATTGAGGAACAATATTGAGGAACAAAAAGCAAAGATCCATTATTACTGATGGTAATGTGTTCACAAACTACAGAGAGGTCTCACCCAGGATAGCAAGAAGGAAGTGTGCCAGCTTTCTTCTGATGGGTGTCAAAATCTCGTGGTTAATAAGAAATAAATGTATGCTTCTTATGTGTACAGTACTTTACACAGTGGAGTGCTTTACACACATCAGCTAAGAAAAGCTTATGATAGTTCCTCCTGTCCACACAGCTGAACATACGCTTCTAAAAAATTTTCTGTGGAGCTGTTAGACAGCAGTATTAATACACAAGCCTTTGGATTTGTCATCAAGATGACACACAAAATAACAAGCTGCTTGTCCAATCTGCCTCCTCTCTGCTGCTGTCCTCTTTAAGGTTCATCTGTTACAGGGCTCCGAATTGCAATTCCTCTGAAAAGCTGGTAGGTACATGTAGCCCCAGATCTGCCACCTTCTCTCCAATCCACCTACACCCTCTCTTTTTATGCTGAAATGTAGAAAAAACGTACATTGCATTAGGAGTCCTCCTTTCCCACCGGCCACCCCTCAGGCCATTTTTTGCTCTTCCTCTCTTCTCCATGTGTCCCATATAATTGGAAATTATGCAATACAGACATGAATAATAATAACATGTATTAATATTTCAGTTTGTTAATGCATGTGAAGCATTTCAACAAGTCCAAGATGTTCTAGCACTAATGTCAGGTATCCATGCTCTAAAAATGGGATAATGGGAAACATTCTGTGTTTTGCAAATGCCTCTTTTGAACTGTACGGGCTCCCTGTTACGGTGCTGGCTCCAGAAACCTGCTATAATAATTCAGCACAGGCTTTGGGATTGTGGTTTGTTCTGATGGCCATTATTATTTATGTCATGCACACCACATTTTTAGAACCATATTGCTTTTGCTCATAAAAACCACATGGCTATAAATCCAAAGCGTTAAAGTGTCTCCAAGGCTAGAATTTAAAATAAATCTCAAGTCAGTAGTATTCCCAGTGTCAGAGGAGTTAGGTGACAGCAGGCTCATTTTCAGAAGGTTTTTTCCTTTTTTTGTTGTATCCAGACTGGTTCTCTAAACTGAAATTGTGGGCAATGGTCATTTTGTGATCAGAGAGTTGAGTGGCTGTCAGTTCTGCAAAAACTAACGGTTCAAAATGCCTCCTTGGGAGTCAAGTCAGGGATACCAAATGCTGCAGAAAACCGTGGAGAACATACATCCTCCCTGAGATAACTAGCTTAAGCAATTCCTGTATGTTTCATTGAATGCAATAGATTCTTAGGAGTTCAAATAAAGATGAAAATACTTGAAGAAAGCTAACCATTTGCACTACGGCTTTCTCTCCACAGTATGTCCATTCCTACACTGAACACTTTTCGAATGACATGTTCCAAGAAATCCTGAAGCATCTCTGTCAGTGTGCTCATGACTTCCAAGAAGCAGTAAGACGTGATATGTGGAGGCAAATGTTTACTGGTCTCTTCCTAGACTGTGATTATGGAAAGGTACGCAAAGCAGCTCTCAACCCACTATCAATATCATGATGCTTCCGGTTTGGTATTTCTCTGGGTCACTGCCTTCTTTTTATTCTTCATGACTCCAGATAATCTCTTCGTGCCTGCTCAGCATTTTTTAGAGGACAGTAGCTGCTGCATTGTTTTCAAATTCATAGTTCTTAGACAGGAAAATAGCCAATAGCCTATAAGCTGATGCCTAATTAGAAACCGAATGACCTAATGTGATGACTCGTTGCTGAAGTTTGATAATTCTGGAGAATAAATTAACCACAAAATTTACTACTGGTCACTACCTGTTCCCACAGTATGTTCAGAATATTTGGGTGCTAATTTGTCTTGTCAGCCATACTTCAAAAAAGATAACCTGCTATAGGTTGACCTTAACATATGTGCACATTACTAAAATAGTAACATATGTTAATTATGTTGCATTAATTTATACACCTTTCGGGCTTCTATCAATACATTTTATCATAGTTTAACATTAAAATGCAAAATAATTGATCTTTACAACCTCTCTGAGAAGAGTACTGTGAACTTCAACCACAATTTATGGGCAGGAAATTAAAATGCGATGAGTCAGTTATAGAGCTGGAAATGGAGCTCAAAAGCCATAATTTGGTTTTCCGCAGCTTTAAACTCTATCTATTGTCCTCTGAATACACCTGCATACCCATTAAAAAAAAAAAAAAGCTAGACTTATTACAAGGCAGTAGGAGGTGAAGAATCAATGGCATAAGCTATTGCTAAAAACTTGGGCTTCGTCCCAGAAGTGTGGTACTTGTTACAAGTAGCCTCAGTTAGCCAGTTGCGGGCTACTACACAGCAAACAGTTGCCATAATCTTGCAGTTTTCTTCCCTACATAAATTATATATTCCATCCAGCACTCCTCTAGTGGTGTTTACAATATGCCTACCCAGAATGAACTGTGCTCTACAATGTCATGCTAATAATGTCATTACCTCTAGGAGAATGAAATTACAGAGCACGTTTCAACACCAGTGGTGTGTTTTAAATAATAGAAGGCAAGCTGCTGCTTCAGGGATGAGGAAAGAAATGTGTCTACTTCTCATTTAGAAGACATTTCATTTTCCTGTTGCTCTGTCAAGAGGAGGTATGATGGATCCTCCTGTGTAGAGTAATATATAAAGCTGAGTCCTATCTTTGCCATGCATTTTGAAAGGATCCCTCCTTCCCCTTTCATGTTTTAATGTCACTGTCTTCGTATTATTTCTGTGGCAGTAATCACCATCGCCATGCTACTAATCCCAGTGGAATCTCAGAGGCAAAGAGCCAAAAATGCTCGTACAACATAACAAGAGTGAGCAGCTATCAGCGCAGACGCCATTGCTGCCTAGAAAAAATGATCAGAGCACAAACATGGTTGCTGTTTCTAGCCTCCAAGGTAGCCTTTCTCTGCAAACCAAGTTCACTAGACTGCAGTGTGGGCCATGCAGTTCTTTTAAACCTGACCTGGTTTCTTTTGTATCGCTCTAATAAGTCCTGCCCTACTGTACCCACAGGGAAGATAAAAGACGCAAACTAACCCAAGGACTTCTACTGCTTGAATGCGATCCATTACCTGTAGTTCTCATTCTGCAAAGCACAGCGAAGCAGTTGTTTCAGTTCCTAATTTACATTTGTTTGGGAGCAGGCAGTTATTCCAGTCTGCATGGTGAGTGTGGCTGGCTGCCTCCGTGAGCTGCAATTAGGGCCGGGGAGCTGAGAAAGCAGTGTTTAAATTACAGTCAAATTAGAAGGTATCCACATGATCATTATTATGGTTTCAAATGCATGCATCCAGAAGGATGGCAGCTCAGCAAGAACAGCCTGGACTATACAGTGAAGCAGAAACTTTCCAAGACAATACCAGAAGAGAGTTGAATCGCTGCTCTAATGCCCAAAAAGGACATGGCTCTGTGAATTTTAAGCTTATTGTCTCTCTGTACTCATGTGGATCAAGCATCCTTTCTTCTATACATTACAACAGAATCCACATTAATTTTCAGGGACGTTTTAAGCCTAGGATCTTTACATGTAACTGAATTTAGTCAGAGATTAATTTTCAATCTAATGAAGTTTGAGACATTTCCGATTACCTTTCTGGCAGTACAACAAGAGCAGAGTCTGCTTTCTCACAACCTTTCACGAGTGTTCTTCCCATCTTGCTCACTAACAAGCACATTGCGGTGTTCAAGATACACAATCACATTTCCAGAAAAACAACCAAGCAGTTAAACGTTGACCTATCACTGATTAAATGGCAAGTCTGGTTTAGTCTGTGCTGCTAAAGGAGTTACTCATAGATCACAGAGCATTGCTGAAAACAAGCTAGAATCATCACCGGCCGATATCTAGGTGACAGGAAAATTAGGTCAACATATATCAACTCTCCAGCCACTAAAGTTGGCACTCGTTAAAAGTGGAGATGAGTTTTGGGCGGCTGTACAAACACAGCTGGCCTGCTGCTCTTTACAGAGGATGCTGTCCTGCCAGCGAGACTCTGTACGACGGGCTGGTGGGCAGGAATCTTCCATCGGCCTCCTCAGTCACGTGCAAAGTGCGAAGAAACATGACCTTTGCCGGTAAATTTAGGAACCCAGAAAGATGGTGTAACTGGGTATAGCACCTTGGGAATGGTTTTGCTGCTGTAGTGCTCCTCTCTTCTGTACACAGCTTTACTGTGGCATGTGCTTCCCAAGGGAAGTTGTAAGGAAAAGGGTCCTGAAATAACAGAGGCCTCTGGTAGAAAGGTATAAATTGTAAATGTTAAAACAAGGTGGAAAATATACCCTTAATTCACATTCAGTAATTTCTGAAAAGAAATTTGCTATTTTTAACAATATATAAAAATACAATTATTTCATCTAAATCACAAGAAAACCTCTTCTAGAACCTGAGTTATCTAAATCTAAAATTATTTTAACATGACAAAAGAGTATCTGAATCCCAAAACAACATTTTAAGTTTTTTAAATAATACTTCATTCATTGCTTTACCTTTTTTATAAAATAAAGCTCTGCATTAGTGCTGCCAGCTTCAAAGCAACCAGCAGATGATCGTGACACATAACAGCTGAGAAAATTTAAAGGGAAAATGAAGTGTGTGTGACAGAAATACTGAAAGGAGAATCCAAATATTACACAGTGATCTGGTAACATCTTCAGAAACGTGTTTGTGTTTGTACATCTACTAAATGGATGCAGAACCAATCTGATATATTCAGCTGAAAAGCAAACTGCCTGAAGAAATGTTTGCATGGGAGCATGCAAGATATTTGTATATTGATGTCAAGAAGACAAAGCTACTGGGAATCAGGGCCTGCATCTTGTAAGTTTAGGGACAGAACTATGTGATGACATTTGTTGTTCCAAACCCACACATGGCTGAAATTCAACTGTAATTTCTAGCATTTTTCTCTCAGCAAAAAGAATCTGAAACACTAAAACTGGACTGGATGCCAGGTTACATTTCAATTCTGATCCTTTCCTCAGAACTGGCAAAAGCTTTCAATTCTCTTTAGAGGAAAGTAACAGCAAATGTGATGTATTCACTTAGTTTTCAGTACTGCCCTCCTTGGGAGGCACCTCACCAGTAGGTGATGGGTATCTCTCAGTTGTTTTCAAATCCTCTGCTCCTAAACACTGATGCAATTAATTACAGTTTTAGATTATAAACAACGCAGTCATCTTGAGCTCATTTCCAGAAAAGACCAGCACACTTCTTCCTTTATTTCTTCAGCCTAAGGGCAGGAAAAGTTCGAAAGGAATTAAAAGCTTGGTGAATTTTACATTTTGCAGTTTTTAATCCAAGAGCAAAATGTGAAAAGGAAATCAATAATTCAGATGGAAAGCTACTTGCTATAAATAATGAACTTCAGTAAATCTGCTCTCTAATTAACTACCATATTTCAGTGAAGGGAGGGAGATTACAAAGGTGTCAGGACTTAAATGACAACAGGAATTCATCACAAAATGGAAAACTTGCAATCGTTTAGATTTGCTTTAATTTTTAAACTCACAATTTCCTGATTGGAAATAACCCATTTTATTGTCTTTTCCGGGTTTTATTGCCTGGATACGCTCACCCTGAGCAACAAGGACTTAATAACTCTGCATGTTCCTCTGCATTGGAACTAGAGATACCTCCCTCACCTCTGTGGGTGAATGTGTCTGGATTTTTAAAGGAAATCAGGGAGGTTGTCATAATAGCTCAGATTTTTGGACTAATTATTTTCCCAGGCAGTTGCCAATACATAATGCTTCAAAGGAAATGATGGGGCACAAAACCAAACTACAACGTAATACAGCACAGCCCATAATATGTGCAAATTTTTCCACAGTACTGTCAGGCAATCAATATCTGTCCTGAAAGCGTGAAATGTTGAAGCTTTGATCTTTACATGAAGAACTCCTTTGGCAGAAGTGGTTACAATCGTCGAACTGTAATTTGTCAAGAATATGCAAGAGGATGTGCCTGCAATGGCATACGTATGAGGAGTCCCAGCTAAGCTCAGAGAATAAATTTTTACCCCTATGAAATTTCCTTCTTTGAAATTTGTAGTGAAGTTCTGTTAATGGATGATTTTCAGTCACGGGTGATTCTTAGCTAATGGTGCCTTTGTAGTGCTGCAAGCCCCAAGAACCACAGGAAAAACCCAATAATTGTCATCTTTTTGTCCAGGTTGGCCTCTTAGATAGACAAAAAATACTTGCGATACTGGTAGACTTCTATGACAGAAGCCCTGTGATTGCTACGAGGGGATTCTGCAACCCAGGACAGTGTAAGTATATGGGAAGTTCAGTTGTGGTTAAAACATAAGGAGGTCACATGAGGTTCTATAATTAATATACATTTTGGAAGCATTACCAGAAATGGACAGAGTCTAAAAAAGGACCCAAACATGTGACCTATGACCTATAGACCATAATTTGCAAATATCACAGAATCATAGAATCCTAGAACGGTTTGGGCTGGAAAGGACTTTAGAGATCATCTAGTTCCAACCCCCCTGCAATGGGCAGGGACACCTCCCACTCCCAGTGAAGCCATGCTGGTTACCAGTCACCTCTGGTATATGTTTTTGCAAACTGTGAGGCAATGTTCAGAAATACTTCAGCATCCAAAACTTCCTTCCTACAAAATTTTGAAGTACTTTTAAAAAGTAGAATTAAAGAAAGACTACTTTTCCTGAGACAATTGTTCTTTCTTACTGGGCAATATTAGAAGTTAATTTCATGTTTACACTGAAATTTCTTCAGGAATATGGAAGGATAAAGAAAAATCACAGAGAATCAGCTACATGAAAGTAAAATATTTTTAAGATATTGGACATTAATTAATCGCTAAGATCAAATGCAAGGCAAATTACAGCTTTCCTTCTTGGTATGGAGAATTATGAAACATGCTTATTTCGAAAAAAATATGGTGTTATACACAATAACAAGTGCAGTTCTCTGCAGGCAAAGACATTATTCTGAAGTTTTGTGTTTCTGAGATGCACGTTTGTAGAAGGTACTTTATGAAGGGTTATGTTTGCTAGGGAATACCTTTCTTCTTTTAAAACAAAATTTCTTATGCAATACTAGAGACTATAAAACCAATGCAAACTACTGACTTACCAATATTTTTTCTATAATAGGGCCAATAATTGAGCTGCAAGAGACTGACCTTGTGGAGTTACGGGGAGGCCTTGATGACCAGGAAGTTTGTGAGGAACTTGGTGAAAAGTTGGTCTTGTCTCAAACAGAAATTTCTGAGGGAGAGATTTTGGCATATCAACCTGTAGCTGATAACAGACAACATACATATAGAATGAGAACTAGTGTCAGAGGAGGTCTTTTTGAACAAATGGGCATGAGTGAACCTGAGACTAGAGGAATTTCTAAGGAAGAAAACCAAGCAGAAGAATCAAGTGATGGTGAGTTGAGAAAGGAAAGTGAGGACGCGGCCTCAGCAGTAAAAAGCACTGATTTTGAGCTAGTGATTTGAATGGAGATATAATACACAGTGAGAAATACAATTTCCTGGAAGACATAAAAAAACAAGAGGGAAACTGAGTCTGCAAGTGCAGGCAAATTGGAGGAAGTTTTCCCAGAATCAGACTCTACTGGGTACAGTCTCAGTACATACGGAGAGCGTGGATCTGAAAAACAGGTGGAGGAAGAGGAGTTTAGCCTGAGTAGAGAGCCTGATACAGAAACAAAGAATCATAGATTCATGGAATCATAGAATGGTTTGGGTTGGAAGGGAGCTTAGGGGTCATCTAGTTCCAACCCCCCTGCTATGGGCAGGGACACCTCCCACTAGCCCAGGTTGCCCAAAGCCTTATCCAACCTGCCTATCTTGGAAAGAACCTCTCTTATGACTCTTGCTAAAATGGATATTTGTAACTGGGCTTAATGTAACATTCACCATCTGAATTTCAGGAAGCAGTATTTCCAGACACTAAAAATAAATAGCTACTGATAACAAGGGTAACTGCAGAGACACAGAGGTGGATTTTATGTATTAACCAGCAGGGTGCTCAGACTAGTGAGCTCTGGTTCACAGAAGATTTCTTTTTAAAACTGCAGGTCCAGCAGGCTCAGACAGACAGGATTCTCCACCTGAAGCTGGCCAGGAGTTGGAAGTGCCATGGTCAGGTGACTGCTCATATCAGCTCTTTTCTTCTGCTTTAGAAAATATAACTTGGATATATGTTTTTAAAGGCTTTTAGAAAAACTGTATCTTGTGTCTTTTTAAAAAGCTTATATCATGACAAGGTATATTTTATCTTTCATCAGGTGACCTTCTGACTTGTGACCTAAGTGGCAAGTATAGCAGCTATGGAGCGAGAACTACAGAGGACTGGAAGCATGAGAACACTAGATTTCCAGGTATTTGGTCACAAAATTGTGTGTTCACTTGAGCACGTAGTGGCTGGCAGTGTCTGCAGACATGCCAGTACTGCTGTGAGCTGAAAGTTTGGGCAAGAATGCAAACACTAATTCCCAAAACTGACTTCAAGGTAAGAGCAGTGTAGGCTTTGTCTCGGAAAGCCACTTGCTGTACAACAGTAATTTCAGCTCACCTGTATTCAGCGATTTGACCTGGTTGTATGATAGCATCCATGCTAGACTGGACCTTAAATCTGAAGAGATGCTATTAGAAGAGTATAAGCAGGTCAAGGCCTTCGGTCAGCATGGAGTCAACCTGTATCCAGCCAGACTTTCACTACAGGAAGTGCAGGATTCAGGACTGTGTCGGCACCTGCCATGTGGCCAGCTTTAGGGCAGCATTTGGCTTCATGTGACGCACTGTGTTTTCTGCCTTTCAGACTTAGGTCCCATCATGGCAGAGATTCAGAACCGTTGTGCTTCGTGTACTAGGAGTGCCTTTGATGAAAGCTGCTTCAACCTGCCACAGTTTGTACAGGTCATGGAGACGTTTGTGGGTGAAGACGTTCCTCTGCCTACTGTGAAGAGCCTTGTTGCATTCATCAAGGAAGAATACAAACAGACAGAAGAGGAAAAAATGGAACAACTAGAAAAGGTAAATATTGATAGGTTTTGCTGATCCCATGTCCAAACACAAAACAGGCAAATGCTGACAGTTACTGACAAAGTCAGCTTTAATCTCAAGCTGGCAGAGCTATTCCCTTGCAGCCTTGCATCCTCTATTTCTTCAAGAGACCTTTTACCCCTTTGTTTTCGTATGGATCCTCCCTCCCTAGCCCTCAGCTCTAGGCGTGATGACAGACTCATCCTGTCAGAGGCTGTCTGTCTGTTCTAGAGCTGGACTCAGTGAGACAGCAGGTTGATAGGCAATTGTGAAAGAGCTGACAACATTCCATTCTGCTTATTCAACTCCATAATAGCCAAGAACCTGATCTCTGACCTACTGCACTGGCATGTACATGTGAGGTTGTGGATGTTTTGAGGAGGATTTTAAACCAAGTGTGCTTGGTTTTGCTGTGTGCATGGCTGTATGTGAATGTACACATGCTTCTTTTTGCTTAAGTTACAAGGTGATTTTGCCAAGTGTTGAAAAAATATATTCCCCTTCAGCAATATGCTCCTGCACAGCATCAGCACGCCCCGTATCACTTGAGAGCATGGATGTATTTCATGGCGCGTCTGTCCATGGCAGCCTCTCTAGCTGCATTTTCCTCAGACCTCTTTCCAGTTTCCCTCTGTGCTGCTGACCTAATTTGGATGAGATACTGGATCTGACAGCTCTGCTCTCCTCACACCGAACGCAACACACACTGCCAGTATTTTGGTCTTTGAGAGAATTCCACTCCAGCCATTTGTCACTGTATGCTCTGCAAAGGCGGGGTTTCAAGGACAAATTGTGTGTGCGTTTGCTTGGAGCCCACACACTTCAGGGCAGCACCAGCAAAATAACAATGTATGGAAATACAAACTGTTGAATCTCTGGTGTCACTAACAAGGCTGTGGTTAGTTCTTGCTGGGAATACATTTGTATTGTGGGAAACTTTCACTAACCTGGGTTGATCTCACCTTGGATCCAGCATGGGCTTCATTTGTTCCCTGGGAAATGACCCTCTGCAGTGTGCATTCTGCCTGGTAAAACCGAACTGTCGGCTGGGTTTAGTGTTTCCAAACATCTCAGAGCTGAGCTGTGTATGCACAGATTTGGCCTGGCCCGCTGGAATTATGTGATCAGCATACCACTGCAGTTCCCACACTTGGGTAGACCTGAGCATTGGTGTCCAGGAATTACCACAGACCCGCTGTTTCTCTGTTGTAGGTTCATCACATCTCTCGCTTGGCCCAACGGAAACTGCTTCTGGAGGCACTTTTCAAAACATTGGACACCAATGCATGCGGGTTTCTGGACCTGGAAGAGGTGGATGCTGTTCTAAGCATGTTTAAGGAAGGGATGGAAAAAGAGGCTTTGAGGAAGGGTAAGGAGACAGCTCTGCTCTGAGAACAATGCCAACACGGTAGGCCTTAAAGCACTCAGCACCAGTGCTAATGAAGTTGTTGGCAAGCACCAGGCATTTTTTGTTTGTGCAAGCAGTCATAAGCATACAAGGTATGATGTATAAAGTGAAAAGGAACAACTATCCAGACCTACTTGTTAATGCATAGCTCCATGCCCTCCTCCTGTGCGAGACTCCGCTGCGACAGATTTCCATCAGAGAGGTAGCCCAATGCTTTCATGCCATTGTGATGTGTTGAAAAAATATTTCAGCTGTAACATGCAAGGTATACTTGCAATATGGCAGTGAAAAACACACATGAAGCCTGAGGACATGTTTCACACTTCTAGTCTAGCCTGTCTGTGTTACCCAGCTATTTTTAACAGATACATTTTACTGTGCTATCTGCAGGAATGTATCTCATAGGAGAGAACACCAGCTTTCATTACGGGTCTCAAATGGCCTTTAGTAATCCACGCTGTTGCACAGCTCTCATGAATTAGATGACAGCAACTTCGAGTCTCACTTCTCTGTTGGTTCATTTCTCTAAATAAACTTAGCAAATTTGGTCCTTGACAGAACAGACTTGGGTCAGACAGAAGTGCTTCCCCTGGACCTGTCTGGCAGCCTCATACATATTAACACACGGGCTTGAGGTGCTCTGAAATACTGTAAGAGCAATTAACATGTCTGCATGTGCGCTTGGGTGGAGAGGACTGGTTCATTCATCTCCACACATATCTTCATGCTGCACAGCCACAGACGAAACTGGCAGTTTACAGCTCTCCTGTGTTTGAAGCATGCTAGATGCACTACAGAAATATGGAAGGACATTGTCCTTTCCATGAAGGGCTCATAAACTAAAGGCCAAATAAATACAAAGATAGCATAGCAAAATCAATACCACCTACAAGCAACATAAAACTATTTCTAGCAGCTTTAACCTAATCTCTCAAAGATATTGTGAAACAAGCAGGTTTGGAGGAAGGGTTCACAGACATTTTTTGGATGAAAACACAGAGTAAGAGGTGGGCAGAATTATTTGATTTTATTTGTAAGTGAAAAGTGTAACAGTACAGATAGGATGGGGAAAATAATTCATTATGGTGTGGCTCAGTGAAGGAACTGAGCAGGCCATGTGCAACATCATGCATATTTCTTTCTTCATTTCTTTCTTCAAAGAGAGGAGAAAGGGGCAGTGAAAATCCAAACATTTTTATACCATCAAAAAATTCTGCATCCTAGTTCTGTCAGGAAATCAGAAATTAAATTAAAAACTCCTGAATATTCTTTAGATGATGGGCAGGATAAGAGCATTAGCAGTCAGCTCCGCCGTCATTGGGGCCAGTTAGTACTGGCTACTTCTGTGCTAAAATCAGTGACATCTGGGGGAAATGAGGCTCTCAGCTCCCATAAACGTCCATGTTTTGGGTGCACTGGGAGGCGACCAGGGCAGCTCTCTGCCTGTTCCTGCACATTATTAATGAAAGCATTTTCTATTACACTGTCCCTTGTAGACCACGGGATGTACTGATCACAAAATACTCCCTGCTTAACAGCAAAGTCCCACTTCTACCTATATATCTTTGCTTGCTTAGTTCTCTAGTAGGAAGCAGCTTGATGAAGAGCTCTCTTTCCTTTTCTTTGCTTCATCGGGTCCAACTGGATTTGAAATCAGGATGCAGAAAAAAAAATGATGGAAGTGTTAGTCATGGCAGTGCTGAGGAGAGCCCTGCCAGCAGCATGATCAGGCGAGCACAGCTTGTGCAGAGCACCCCGTGCATCCTGGGTTCCCAAGGCCAGGCAGCTGCCTGCACCTTGGAAAGTCTGTGTGAGAGCAGAGTCTGTGCAAGGGCAAAGCCTGTCCAAGAGCACCCCCGTGAGCCCGGAGCCGGGTGCGGGGAGCAGCAGCAGGGCTGGAGGGAACCGGCACAGGGCTCGAACAGCTCTGTTAGACCGGCTGCTGATTTAAGTACCATCTGAATGCAAAGCGATGGGATGGGGTGAATGTGCACCTGCACGCTCAGGCTGTTAGGACTACAAGGCTCACGTGAGTCCTGTTTGTCTTCAGGACCTCTGGGCAAGTTGGAAATTTGTGAACTGGAGAGAGTAGATGGAGGAAAGCAATTCTTGGGAATCATAATTTGACCCTTGTGGCATTCCGCATGCCCTTTGTCCAAGCAAAAGGAAACTCTGCCAGACCTTTCTATTGCGGCTTATTTGCCCATATCTGGGCCAGCTCAGCTGCAAGCTCTGGGATGTGAAAAAGGGGATTGGGGCACGGCTCTACTCCCTGGCCTTGTGCAAGATTGCACAATTTTCTACTGACCTTTATTGTTTAATATGTTGCAGAGGTACAAAAGGGGGCAGGAACAATGTTATGCAGGTTTCTTTCTCAGTACATGAGAACATAGAGGAAAAGGTGCATCCAGTCTTGAAGCGGAGATTACCTGCATGATGACAATTTATATTTAGGAGATAGCTTGAAAAAAAACCCAGAATGATGGATTAAAAGTCAGTTTAGGGCTTGATTTATATTTTGCACAAGAAAAGCAAAACATTTTATTCAAATTGACAGTTCCTGTCTTATTTTCTGTCTCTTCTAGCAAAGGAACACCTCTGCTCCCGTTACCCCCAGCTCAGCAGAGTGGGGAAGCTATCCCCAAAGGCATTCCAGACTTTCCTTGAGTTAATTGCTTCCGAGTTCCCTGGTGATGAGGATGAAGCTATTGATAATTTGGTGGAATTTCTGACCACAAGTGTGAAACAAAGTCCCATGGAGTACCTGCAGGGCTCAGCCCGGAGGAAATGGCTGCACAATATCCAGCAAGCAGCTGAGACCAGTGGAGCAAGCATGGAACCAGTTTACAAAGCAGTGTTTGAGGCCCTCTCCCAGGTACACATCCCAGGGAGCACAAGAGTTGTTTGTGTTGGGATGGTGACACTGACTTCCACCCCCCTGTGCATTTGGGTGGAACACACGAGTAGCACAGGAAGCGGGTCTGAGGCTGGTTTCCTCGTGCTTTTCTGCACTGAGCTGATGCTCAGGAGAGCCTGGGGTTACGCACAGAAAGAGTCACAGGTCAGCTCTGCAATACAACAATTGTCATCCCTGCCCTGCCAATACAGAATGCACCTCAGGGGTACTTACGTCTCACTTTTTGAAGAGCTGACTTGGATCAAATTTGGAAATCTGTATTTCTAGTTTTAGAGATTCTGAAATTAAACACACTAGACTCAGTTTGGGATGAAGATGGTTAATTTGTAGTGGAGATATAGTTTAATTTTTAACTTGTCCTCACCATTAAAGCTTTCCTCAAAGCAAAACTTCTCTCATAGTAGGTGAGGTGTTGTTACAATATTTACGTTTGTAAATGTAGCAATTCTGGCATTTCTTTGTCTGATTTTTCCAACGGAATCTCCTATTGGAGAAGAAATCCATAGGAGTTTTGCTTAGGCACAGGTTGTAATTAGGGTTTATTTTTATATGAACTGCTCCCCATTAGCAGCAGGAAAAAAAAACAAAAAACAACTATTTTCATTGCCAATCAAAATACCAAGTGGTTTTGCTTGTAACAGACCGTACTGGTCAGACACACGTCATGCAGTTAGTGCCTGACATACAAACCCAGTGACCCAGAGCAGCATCTCGGCAAAAAATGAGACAAGTGCTAAGTACATGAAATAAGTGTAATGGCCAATGGCTAATGTACATAATGTAATGGGAAACATTTGGTTGCTAGGATGCAGAAGCCCATGGGGATAACAAGATGATCAGTGCATATATTGCCCTTTTGGAAGAGAACCAGCTCTCACCAGCACGGGGACAGATTCTCCTACGCTATGTGGCCTGTACCGCAGATGATGCTCCGTATGTTCTCAACCAGATACTTTACAGAGACATGAAAGGAGTAAGGTAAGAAAAGCTACAAATAGTCGTTCCTTTTTCTCAAAAGTATTTGGGTACCTGGCAGTGGTTTGGGGTACACTGGAAACAGAGGTTGACAGAGTACTCCAGAGAGGAAATCTCCTCAGGGACCGTTGTGGAATTATTCATTATCATATACATGCCCTTACATTTTGCATGGTCTGGTTAGAACTGCTCTGTTTGGGATTTCACTCCCTCCCCTGGGGAGATTAGCTCACAGTCTAATAAACCTCATCCTTTAGCAAGAGTCTGTTATATTGGGCCTACATTTCCTTCTTTAAAAATTAATTCCCTTACACTAGTTTACATCCACAGGATATTTTTTGAGAACAATGCCTTTCCCTCCCTAGTGTTTACACTATAAACAGCTTTCATGCCTCTTTACTTCTCATCTCCAAAAGCTAGACTATTTGTTTCTTTCTTTAAATATTGCTTCTTCTAACCTATTAAATGTAACTGCTGCTTGCTTCTGTATTCCCTTTCATTATATTAATTAGTTGATGTTTTAAAAATATCCTAAGGATGAAAAGTACCTTATTTATTACCACTGTCTCTGGGATGCAAGTGGTAAATGTGGTATTTCTGGGTGCAGTCAGAGTACAGAGCTAACACCTTCCTTCTCTGATGCCAAAAAGCAGGGAGAGATCAAAGCTGCAGTATTTATTGCTTTGCTAAAGGTTTTCTGCTACTCTGAACACACCTTCTCATAAGTTTATTTTTCAGCTTTGCAGCTGTTGAAGAAGGAAAGCCAATCCATGTTCCAAGAGTTCAGCTCCACGGAAATATCCACTTCTGGAACTATGACCGCCCAGAGGAGGAGAGAAAAGGCTCACTCCTGGTACTGCCACTGCATGATGCTTGCTGGAGAGTCTTTGGCATCCTAGGACTTGACACGCTTCGAGACCAGTGCGAGGAAACTATCTTTCTGACCCATGAGATCAGTTTTTATCAGGTGGGCACCATCAGGAAGCAGTTTGTTAGACCGCTCAGTGTAGGGACCGGGTGAATTTTACATGTTCGTTCTGGGTAAACGTTCAGATGCGCAACTAAGAACAGAACTGTGGGCCCCTTTTTACTGTATATGGTGAAAGTGGTGTGAGCAGAACACTTTATTAATATCTTACTGATCAGCATCTTATCTGTAATTGATTATAAGGTATCAATTATTTAAGCTTCTCCTGACTAGTAAATTAATTGCACTTTTGTGCAAAGCCCAAAGATGGTAGCTTTTATTTCCTGAAGCTCTGTACCTCATATTTGTGTTTTTTCCATAAAGTGGCATGAAAACTTACTTTTTACATGGTGGAATAATTATAAGCAACAGCAGTTCGGATTTCTTTGGGCTGCTCTTTAGCATCAGCCTCACTGTGGCTGCACCATCTGGGCAGCAGGGCGCACAACAAGCCAACGGTACCAGTCCCTCTGGCTACCGCTGCTAAAACCAACTTTGTCTAGTTTAGGACTGGGCTGTGACCCGGGCACTCTGGAGCCCTAGAGCCTTATTTGATAAGGGACATTTCACAGTCACTTTTCAGCTTTACAAGCTCTGACTAAAGTAACTTGTTACAACCATTTTGCTTCATTTTGCTGCATGAGTGTTTCCCCAGCTTTTTTACCCAAATCATATGAAACTGTCTGGCTCATTTGGAGGATTCTGCTTTCACAGGGAGTTTCTCATGCATTCAGCAAAGCCTATCACCATATCTGTATGCTGCAAAATGTTCTACAAATGGCTACTACTGCGCTGGACTGGTTGTATTCCAGGGCACCCAGCATCCGCACTGTGATTACGTACCTGGTGGAGCCTGGCAAAGACAAGGTACGCAGATCACTGCAGTGAAAAGACCCGGAATAGCCAGGGGCTGACAAGGCTACTTTAGTGCAGAACTGCCATTTCTACCTGCCTGTGATTGCCCAGAGGTTTTATTATAGAAACTGAAGCCTGCCTGAGATTCTGGTGCCTGCCTGTGCAACAAAAAGGCTACAAAGGTAGACAGGGAAGGTTCTCTCTCTAAAGAACCCGCTCTTCGTTCTTTTCATCCTCCCATGTAAAACAATTCAACAGCACTGCTATGATAACCCCTTCTCCATGGGAAAAGGGAATATTCTCCTACTTCAATGCTCACAGCTGCATAGTGACCAATAGATCCAATCCCCACACCCATCCATCCATCCATCCATCCATCTGCAGGTCAGCCAACACCCCAAGTCCCTGCTAAAGCTTCACAGTCTGGGACCTCCACAAAGGGAGCTGCTCTTCTGCGGAAACTGTAGGTGTGTCAAAACTATGGTGTTATATAGGAAAAAAGAATGTCCTAGCGAATGTATGAGCTCTGAACTAATGTCTGCAGCCAAGACAACTCAGGAGGTGGCTGTTTCCCAATTAGCTAGCTCGTAAAGGCAGCCCCCTCCCTGCCGATCGTGTTCCATGTCCTAGCTAATGTATGAGCTCTTAACTCTGAACTAATGTCTGCAGCCAAGACAACTCAGGAGGTGGCTGTTTCCCAATTAGCTAGCTCGTAAAGGCAGCCCCCTCCCTGCCGATCGTGTTCCAGTTGTTCTGCAGGCACACAGCCCTGGGAAGCTTGTCACTTCATGTGCAAGTGAGTTCAGAAGGTGAAAACTGTATGCAATATTTTGGACTGGTCCTGTGTCATCACAAAGTCTGGATGACATCTGCTGTAGCCATAATTCAGCTGCTTCCCCTGATAAGCGTAGTTTATGTTGGCAGCTTTCTGTTGTCATTCTGGGCTCTGCACGGTTCCCTTGTTAGCTGCCTGATAGCCACGTCATTTGCTCCCCTCTGTGCTTTCCAAGTGTCAAGGCACAGTGACACAAACATGGCATGAGAACGAGGGCTGCAAGAGGATGGGAAAAAGAAGGGAAACCTCTTCTTGGCCTGTGGGTGTTCCTCAGTGTGGAGTCTGGGGGTGGATTAATGTCCGGCTGAGGGAGGTCCAGGGCACATTCTTCATGCATCTTGAGCAATACACTCTGGGAATAAAATCAGGCATTGTTGGGAGATGTCTTTAAACCGTCCCATTGCACTTGAACATACCTAGGTGTTTCCTTTCAGAAATACACCATTTCCTCCCTCTCCAAGCTTCAAAATGGCTGTTCCTTTCTTGGATGCAGCTAAACCTCCCTTTTCTCTCTGACAGCCATGGGACTACGCTTTGCGCAAGATGATTACTACAGATAATACAGGACAAAAAGAAATTCATAGCTCTCCTGTTCTTCTCCTCAGAAAAGAAAACCTCTTAAGGTAGGCTCCAGTACCTGCAATCGTACTGGTCACCCCTGCTCCTAGACTCCAGCCTGCGTCAGGCATGACCCACGTCACATAAAGCCCACGGTACTGCAGCCCTGCAGGGGTGTCTGGCTGTAGCTCTCTCACTACCAAGGCTTCTGGTGTGTATGCACATGATACTGAATTATGAAGGGGTGAGGAGTATTTTCTCTTTGAGTTTAGGTCTGCAGAATCTTAACTTCCAACTTAACAGCTGAGCTGCCAATGAAGCTCTCCATCTGCTATGAATGGTTTGCAGGATTAGAGCCTGCACTGAACCATTTTGCTCTTTAGGATAATCGGTCCTTTTTCCTGTCCGTGTTATTCTAATTTCCTTCAACTATCTGTTTCCTTCCACTGTCAAGATCCTCATGGACTGGTCTGTTAAACGTTATCATCCTTGTTCTCAAAGTTGAACAGCCATTTGCTGTTTCAGCAGATGTTTTTACTTTTTATAAAACTCTATAGAACAAATGGCAAGATGGTTAATAACAGGAAACTGTTTTTAACACAAAACTACAACCTAATTTGGGTTTGTTAAATTCTTATGATTTTCAGCAACTGCCTTGCCTAAGCAATACTGTGTTCCATAATGCTATTTTCTCCTTTCTGTATATGGTTTGAATACTTAAAGCTGTTCAAGGAAATAAACAATTATTTAGTAATGTAATACCTTTATTTTAACAACAAGAGATGAATGGTATCTTACTAAAATATGCTAAATACATTACCAAAAGAAACCAGAATGGTAAAGTCTAGTACATTTTCCCCTCTCTACTCTAATTTCAGAGATTACCTGTATAGGTGCATAGATAGTTCAGAGGTCATTCGCACTTCTGTCTGTGGAGAACACCACATTGCAGTGCCTCTCCGTGACCTATCAGGACAAGCTCTTGGGATATTTGATATTAACATCGGACACCACCAGAAATTACCACCTCCTGAACACGAAGACCTGCAAAAAATGCTAAAGATGGCCCAAGCTGCCTGCTCTGAGATACTGAAGATGTCTTCAGAGGAAACAGAACCAAGCTATGTACTGGGTATCCTGCATACAGAGCCAAGATAGTTTTTATAGGGGTGAAATTAGGAATCTCAGTAAAACCACATCTAAAGCATCATTCCTACAAATATGGAAAGACAAATACAAACCTTTGTACATGTAAACTACTCCTGAGCAAGCCTAAGTTAAACAGAATGTTTAGATTTGACTCTGGTTCACAGGGTGTTTTGTGCCCAAGTCCCACTGAAATCAAAGGTGTGAAGCAAGGCGCTGTGTTGCCTTCAGGGATCTTCAGGGATCTAGCATGTCCTCCTCAGATCTGCCCCAGCTAAGATCAAAAGAATTATCTGCATGCCTGAACCTTCATGGTCTCAGGACCTTTGCTTGTCTCTGGAGGCAAGTGTTGTCTCCTTCTCAAACACATAACCATTTTAAAGTTTCTTAGGATACTCGTGCTGTACACAAATCAGTCACTTGGTCAAAGAGACAAAGAGTTAATCGTAAAGAGGGCAGAGCCTTTCAGTCAGTAAGGTAAGTCTTGAGTAGTAGATGTTTCTGAGAAACTTCTTGAAAGGTTTGCTTTTGATTCCAGAGGCAGAACGCATGGCAAATTGGAGGCATGCAGGGATTCTGTTCTACCAGTTCATGCTGCAGGACCTGCGCGAGTGTATCCAGAAACTCGATGCTGAGAGCTTTGCTGAAATAAAGAGCTATGCAGAACCCCCAGCTCTGGCACATAACATAGTTAAGGCTGTGCTGTTGCTTCTGCATCCAGACTGGAAGGGCTCAGAGAAGACTGAGAACTGGAGTCAGTGTAAACTGGTGAGACTTCAAAATGTTGAGACTTTGTTTTCTGTCCTTCCTCCCCTAAGAAGATAGAGTGCAATTCGCCAAAGGTGAATTGTCAGTGAAATAATTAATCACCTACAGATTTCCTATATGCTTGTCTTATCCATCTTTAATTCTGCAACCCTCTCTTAAGTTTTTAACCGCCACCTGACTCTCTTTATTCTCTGCATTGCAGAAACTTGATGACAGTTTGATTCAGGATATTTATTTCTTTGATCCAACTGCTGCATCTGTGCAGGTTCAAGCAGAGCTGCTGCTCGACTGCATCACTGGTAAATATCATAAACTAATTATGAGACACCAGACATGGCTCAGCAGCGAAACAGTGTCAGTGGCAAAGTTCAGCTGAGTGCTTTTAAGGTCCTTACTTCAGAAATTAACTTTGATTTCACAATAGATTAAACAACAGATAAAGGGTCCTAAATATCTGCAGTCTTTTCTGGTCAATAAAAGTCAACCTGTTAGATTTAGAATCAAAATTCCCTGCCTTAAGGAAAGGGGAGCAGAGCAGCTTCGAAACCTACCAGAACAAGTGCTCATTGTAAACCTCCAGATAAACATATTAAGAATGATGGTTCTTTTGGCAAGTAAATCTGCCTCAGAGCACCCTGACCCAGCTCCAACACTGTGTGCTTCTCAAAGCATCACCATCTTCCCGCATGGAATTACTGGACTGGTGGAAAGCTCCCCCGATGGGATGATCTCTGCTCAGTCTTGGAGCAACACTGGCCACAGTTTGGACCTGCCCTGCTGAAGTTAGGTCTCTTCTCTGTTTCAGGGGTACCCGGAGCAGCAGTGTGGCAGCTGGGCTGGGCCCCGGCCGAGTGCCTGTTCCACTGGGTGCACACCTGCCTGGCGCTGGCGGAGATCTCCAGGAGCAAACCCCCTCCCTCCTCAGCCCCTTCTGCCATCAAATTCCCCTGCGCCTCCAATTAAATCTCCCCACCTAACCTTAGTGATTCTGGTATTTGACATCTTTATTAAATTAACTGTTGCTTTTTTTATTTTTTAATGCATAGCTACTATTTGTTAAGATGGTAAGAAGTCTGTTAGAGATGAAGAACAAGCAATAAAAACATTAAAGGAAAGAAGTTTGCCAGTCTATCTACTGAACATTAAAAGCTTGATTGAAGTGGATTTTTAAAAAATTAATTCTGATGAGAAAAAGAGAGGCAGGGAAGAGTTCATGACAACTGAGCTACAATGCTGATAAACAACACAGCAAAAATCTTCAAGATTCAGTCTCCTTAAACTACTTTTTAGGAATAATTTCAACTAAAGGCTGTTAATCAGCATTTTCTCAAGTTGTTCTAAACGTGTTGCAGAAAATCTGCTTTTAATATAGAAAAGAAAGCTTTCTTACTGGGATAAAGCTTGAGATTACAGCCAGCTCACTGTCTGCAGAAAGATTTCATCTTTCCAATAACGTTTCTTTTGGCAGAATCACTTTTTTAATAACATTTTGGGAAATTAAATCTCCTCTTTCTTTCTTTAGTCGGCAACAAGCGACATCTCCGGGTAGGT